GCCAATGGTACTTTCCTGAAGATTTCACTTTATGTTCCATCTCTTTATCGATTATGTAGATTTTTCTGGAATCTACACATATTTTATTGTTACCTTTCCAAACTAAGGCAACTTGGCTGGGTTTAGGTTTTTGGTCTATAGAAGCAGAATATTACATGCTTATTTTATTTGTCAAAATTTAACATTCTTGTTAGTTTCTAAGTTTTAGTTCCATCAGGACTGGCTTTTCTTATTCTGAGCTAATAACTGAACTCCTGTGCAAAGTCCAGAGATTGCAGGCTCTTCTACTTAGAGGCTCTTTATTAATACCAATTATAGGTATAAAGTTGGGAGGAAGGAGCAATTGATAAAATGCAAAAGGAGACAAACTTCTAAACCATAAAGCCATCTAGAAGTAACATTTTATAGATAATTACAAACAGAAGGCATTTACAAAAACATCAATCTCTTGACTGGTATGAGAACCTGACAGAAAATGTATAATAGCCATCTTTTTGTTTTGTTTTTTGTTACCATAAATTAGCGTTTTCTGTGTAATGCACCTACAACAAAGGAGAACTGGGGGAACACATCTCAAAATAACAAACGCTATTTATGACAAACCCACAGCCAACATAACACTCAGCAGTGAAAAGCTGAAAGCTTTCCCACTGAAGTCTGGAACAAGACAAGGATGCTAACTCTCATCACTCCTATACGACATGGTATTGGAAGTCCTAGCCTCAGCAGTCAGACAAGAAAAAAGAAATAAAAGGGATCTAGGAAATGCGGCTTGCTAAACTGGTTGCTTTGCTTGAAAATTGGGCACCCAGGCTAGTCATATTGAAATTACTATCTTTTGAAGCACAAATTCTTCTGTGATCTCTGTTAGCCAAGAAAACCCTAAACATTTATCTCTTTTCCCTCTCTGCTTAAAGGTACAATCTCATGACCTACAAGAGCAGTCAGCCACACTGTGATGAAGAACTGTCACATAAAGTCACCCCTTCCTCCCAGCCCCAGACTATGCCGGGGCTCCCAGGAATATGCCCTTGCTTCACATAAGCTCGTTTCTTTTTCTTGGCCCAGATACTTGTGGCACTCTCGGATCTGGAGTTTAATAATTTAGTAATTCCCAGGGCTAAGTTTGGGTGTTTATCACTATTATGTTTTTTCCTACCAAGTGGCATTTCAGCTTTCTTCAGTTCAAGAAGAAGAAAAAATACTGTAGCTAACTATTTTTTCCTATTTTGATTTTTCTGATCTCTTTCTGTGCCATACCAGCCACCTCAAGGTTGGCTCCCCGCTGCCTGCGCTCTGAGTCACCGTCTCTATCACCTCATCATTTCTAACACTTGTTGGGCACTTACTAATAGCTGCGTATTGGGCAAAGGCTGTTAGGTGAATTACCCCATTTAACCCCAACCACCCTGCAATAAAATAGGTATTATCATTTTCAGATGAGAAAGTGTATTTTCAATCATGTATTCTTTTCCTTTGTTATCTGTGTGATTTTTCTCAAGTTCTCCATGTGTTTCAATTACTTTCGGTGTCTGTTCTGCATTTTGCAGTTACAAGTTCACTGACATTCTATGATGTCATTATTTCTCTTCCTCTCTTTAGCTGTCAGTTATCTTTTCATTTTATTGTGCTGTCTTGTTTCATTAAGTTCACGTGTCTTGTTAGATTTCTTAAAAGCACAAAGCAGTTTCAGTATAAAATTTTCTTCTGTCTTCTGGAATAAGAGTTTTTTTTCTTAATTTCTATTTTTTGGAGAGAGGAGGTAAGGGGTACTGGGGATTGAACCCCAGGACCTTGGGCATGCTAAGCATGTACTCTACCACTGAGCTATAGCCTCCCCTCCTGGAATGAGAGTATTCTTAAATGCTTACTTCATTCGTATTTTGCAACTTATATCCACTTTTTTGATATAAAATTTTCTTTTTTGCTGAGATTTCTTTTCTGGCTTACTTCTTAAATGTAGGCCATTTTATCAGGGCCTTCTTACTGGTCAGAAGCAATCCGGCTATACAGATTCTCTTTGACATCCTTCCGTGTTTACTTGGGAAGCTTTCGAATTGTCCCCTAAGCACCTGAGACAGAGTATTGGTTGCTGATGACTATTTTCTATGGACCATATCCAATTTCTTGGGAGGAGACCGAGGGTGGGAACCTGGTGGAGCCAGGGTGTGGTTGCCCTCAGTCTGGGAGCTTTCTCTCTGAATCTGCTAAGACTACTGTGTCTGGGGCTGGTCAGCCAGCTAAGAAGTTTGAGTTGTTCCATGGAGGGGAACAGCTGTGAAATCTTCAGATTTCATGTCATTCTCTTAATTCAGAGTGAGCCAGCCACTTTGGCAAAAACTGAGATTAGCCTGATTCCCTTCGGCTGATGGTCTTTCGGTTTTCTGGGTCAGCCCACATTCACCTCCGGGCTACAGCCTGCCTTTAGACCCCATGCCCTCCTTGTTAGAAACCTGTCAGAAGACTAGGAAAAAAAGGCATCACAGGGTGACTTCAGAGTGCGATGGTTCCTCTTCAATCCTGCTTCGTCCACGGAGGTGGGGGAAAAAGGCTCCATGTCACTGTTTCTGTCCTTACCCCAGCTCTCTTGTGACCTCAGCCCTGGGTCCTAATACCAGGCAGATTTTATGCTGGTGGGCCCTTCGGAGGATCCCAACTCTAACACTGCTCTGGGCAGACTGGAGAGCTTGAGGTTGGTCCACGTTGTGTCTCACTGGCTGACACTCTCCAGATTTTGTGCAAAAGTAGAGCCTTTGCATCAGGGTAGAAGACTATTTTTAGGATTTTGTTCACTTCCTGTGTGTTCTGCCTACCATCTATTTAAGGAAGGAATAAACTGGAAAACTTACTGGTTCACCTAGAAAAATCCTTTGACTGTCAGGTTTATAGAAGAAATTCCTTTTATAAAATTAATCATTCCTGCCTTATAACATTTTAAGCTCTGAGCAAATTTAGACACTTGAGCACCTATCATATGCAGGACACAAGAATACAAAAGTTTAAAAAACTCATTTTCTGCCCTGCACAAAATTATAGTTAGGTGGGGAAGCAGGTAAGTACACCAATGGTCACAAAAGAGAAGCTCTTCAACTTAAAGACTTTCTATTTAGGAAATTTCATGGTTCCTGGCCAAAGCAAAAACCCATCGAATTCTGCTCATCAGGAACAGTATCTCTTTGGAAGCACAGAAAAGGACAAACACCTGGCCTTTTGCAAACCAGCAAGTGGTTGGTAGAGGATGCTGGAAGGAAAACAGAAGAGAGACATCTACAGTTTGGCAAGTTCCTTTCCTGCCAACCAGAACATCTGGACAAGCCATGTAAGCTGCAGAACAACTCACAACAAAAAGGATGGGAATGAGGATGTCTCTTGCAGGCCTGAATGAAGACTGAGAGATTTTATAAGGGAGAAGGTACTCTTGGAGATGCTACATCTATTTCATTAACTCTTCTGTTCTTTAGAAACTCAGACACCCTTCAACATTGATTAAGTGCTGAAAAACACAATTCGTAAAGCACCTGAGGTCAGAGAGTACATGACACAAGGATCTCAAGCTTTTTAGAGAAACATGATTTCAACTCTGATCTCAGGTGTTCCTCCGGCTCCAGCTCTTCACAGTGCCCTGAATACTTTCCAAAAGACCACAGGTTAAAAAAAAATCATTTAGCATCTTGCCCATCTCACAGCCTTTACTGATTAAGGACAAAATCTGCAGTCAGATTTGTTTCTTAGAATGCTGGTAGCTGACTGTCCTATTATCAAATAATACATTTCCGGGGAACATGACAGTTTTCTGTAAAGAGTGGTAGGTGATTCACATACCTGTATTTTGACCACATGTTCCTCTTGTTCATACAAAAATGATTTCCTAGCTTCAAACTCTTTCCTAAGGAGGGGTCCTGAGCTTGTGGCTTGAAAGCGAAGAAGCATATCTTCGGTTGCAGACCACATCTTCTCACGGATGTAATCTGTTGTGACTTCCTCAATAATGTCCTGGCAAGAGATATTTCTTATGTTACACTTCACACAATGGGTGAAAGGAGCATATAGAACAGCTTCTGGAAATGTTATCTTTCAGGAAATGACATGGAGAGCTCTTTCTGGCCTGCTGTACAAACAGATCTGACCAGAGCAGAGTGATGAACGGGCTTAGCTTCTTTCTAGCGACATGGTTTTGGAATCCTCTAGCTCTGTGCTGAGATGGTTTGAGAATGCAATTGAATGGTCTCCGGATGTGGAAGCGGAGGGGATGGATAATGCTGGCAGGGACCAGGAGTGAGGCTGGGCTCCACAGAATGCGAAAGGGACAAGGGTGGTTACAGTTAAGAATAGACACCGCCTCCTCCCTGTCCCACAGTGCCCCTGAAGATCTCAGGCTTCTCTGCCCCCTTTCTTGCCACGGACAGAGAAGACAGACCCCTGCACCGAGATGGGGAAAACTCAAATTTAGGGGAAAATAAAAGACTTGGAGCAGAAGAAAGGGAGTGGGAGAGGAAAGACAAGTGCTATTGTAGGCAGACAGGGAAACCTAGATAAATGGGGGGAAGAAAAAGGAAGAAAGGGGATTGTGAGACGTCTTCATGTAGATAATGAACTGGGTTTATTTTTACGTTCTGTGAGAGATGCAAGCAAAGACTGGACTCACTGCTATGGCTGATGCCTCTTATTTAGTGCGATTGGATTCAGAGGATGGGTAATTTAAACAATCAAAAGTGAAATCATATAAAAGATGCATAAATATCATTAAGAGAAGACATATGTACATTCTCAAAATCAGTAATTTTAGACTGTGTGGAATATATATGTATTTTTTTTTAACAGCATAGACTCTCCACTTTTTATTAATCCTGATCCTCCATTTCACAAAGTTATACCGAGGGCATCTTTAGATGTCACGTGAGCAATTTTTGGCTCTGAATTTTAACTCTTCAATGCTGCTTCTTCACAGTTTGAGAAATCTTTGCAACAACAGGATATGCTTTTTAAATATTGGCCATAATTTTATTTTTCAACAAAGCAGCACTAATAGTTCTTTGCCACAATGCCACTTTCCTGTAAGATGTGGGAACTTTGAATCTGTGAAATTAGTTAATAAATATGTTTTTCACTATCTTCTTGTCATTCAGGATGTCTGTGGTAATGTCAGCCCCAAGCCACAGTTTTCCCTCCGAGTTTTAGCACTGGTGATTCTGTCTCTTTGATGCTGGTGACTTTGAATGGTTCTATAAGATCTACATTTATGTGTTCTGTTTTTTTCAAAACAGAACTCAATTATTAGAAGTATCTTTTCTTTAAACACACTACAAAGCCTGGATCCATTTTCACATCTTCTGGGTCCAACTTCTTGTCTCAAGTCCAAAGCAATCTAGGCGAACATTCCTTCAAGAGTATTTCTCCCTGGGAAGCATTATTCACTTTAAAAGGATCTACATAGCTTTGTTGTAGGCTGAGGTGGGGAGAAAGAAATGACATTTTGAATACTGACAACCAAGGAATCACCACTAAGTGAGCTTCTGTGTCAGGGAAAACCTGAAGATTGATTTCTCAGGATAATCTGCTATCCTAAACAAGCTGCAAAAGCTTTCCTCCCCCCTTTCTGTTTGGTGTTGCTACATCATATGGAAAACATTCTAGAAGTTAGTAACCAGGCAGCTGCCTCCAAATGTAGTTTCTCAAGACTTGACTCCATATCCAATCTTTAAACAAATTAGTTCTTCCCATCAATTCCCTGATTCAAAAACAGAAGAGCAATCACACTTATCTTCATATAGTACACTTTTCCATCAAACACCAACCTCCTACCTCAATTTCTTTTCCCATGAGCCATGATTCTTTCGGCAAGTAGGATTCAGGTGCGACCCAGGAACCCTCTTTTGCATCGATGTTGTAGTAGTAATCATATTTCTCCCGCACGGTGAATTTGAGCCATGAACCTTCAGTAGACACTGAAGAAAAAATTTGTTCAATTCTAGAGAGGAACATTGATCTCTTTGACATTAATGTAGTTTCTTCAATATAAAATAATTGAAAGAACATGTTTTTTTTTACCAGGCATTCAGAGAGTCTAAGTTAAAATAATCAGAAATGACTCATTAAAATGGAATGAGTTCTACGTACTCAGTGGCATGTCTCTGCTAAGCCAAAGAAAAAGGAGGAGAGAGTCATGTCTAACGTTAGCACTGGATCTCAAACTTTTCAGGATAGGAATCACAAATGGTCAACAAGAAGGAAAAGCAGACAAGGAATGGATATCCCAGGTAGATATGAACAGCACCACAAGTAGAAGAGACCAATGAGGAAGAACCCTCTAGAAATACTGGTCTACTAGAAAATATACTGCATAGTCAAATTAGGATGATCACAAGTAATCATTTTATTTTTAATCACCAGTAGATGTCATATTCACAAAGGCTTTCAGAAGAATGAACACCCTTTTTAAGGCAACTCTCTCACTGGGAAGGAAAAAAGGCAAATAAAATGGTATTGGCTGTACAGATTTGTGAGTATACTCCAAACATCTGACTGGCACAGCTTAAAAGAGTAAATTTCATGGTATGTGAATTATACCTCAATAAGAAAATCAACTGTATTTCCCTGTTAGCAAAACAAAAACAAAAACAAAAACATAAACAAAAACAAAAAACAAAAAACAACCAACTCCAAAATGAAATTCAGAAAACAGTATTTACAATGGCATCAAAAACCGTAAAACACTTAGGAAGAAATTCAACTAATGAAATGCAAACTCTATACACTGAAAACTACAAAACATTGTTGAGAGAATTAAAGAAGACCTAATTATAAGGAAAGACATACCATGTACATGGATCAGAAGACTGAACACTGCGGGGTAGGGTAGAGCTCAGTGGTAGAGCTAAGATGGCAGTATGCCTCAAATTGAGCTAAAGAGTCAATACAATCCTTAGCAAAGTCCCAGCTGACTTAAAAAAAAAAGAATCTAAAGTATCTCTCTGGTTTCTGAATTGGGTATCTAGGGACAGTTTCACTCCACTGACCAAAACAGGGCACATGGGAAGAAAAGGAGACAAATTTAGGGAAGAGAAGATAAACTAAGTTTCAGCCAGGATGGATTTGAAATCATGACGGGTTGTCTCTAGGAAGTCGCCCCCTGCATTAGCACAGGTATACAATTCTTTACTCATAATGGAAGAGATGTGAGGGAGTAAACAGGGCCTTGAGGGTGACCAGATGCCAAGTAAGAGAGAATGGCCGGTAGCCTTGTTTGCTTCCATTAACAGGAAATCTGCTGGCTTGAGGGGTGGAATTCCCAAGTTAGAAATACATCAGACTAATTTAAAAATAAATACATAGGGTACTTTTGGACAAATTTCCAGTTGAACTAAAAAAAGATTTTTTTTCTTTCATTCCACTTCTAAGGCTCTATACTGCCAAAGCAGTTTCTTAAAGATGAAAAATACTATGTAAATGACCTATGATACAAACACACATCAGCCTAGCAGTCAGGAGACACTTTGATCCCTGACACTAGGACATAGCAAGAGCTCAATAAAAATCTATTAAAGAAATGATGGCTTGTCTCTGCCAAAAATTCATCCTTTTGGGTTTGTTATTTTCTCCCTCTGTCCAAAATCTCATAAATGTAAGTTTCTAAGTCTGAAAAAGGGGGGGGGTGCAGGAGTTTAAACTCATAATCTAAAAGATACTCTATAGAGCTAACATTTCATGATCTGCCATTGGATTGAATACTTGCCAAGATTATTGAGCTAATCCCTTGGAGGCCAATTCACAGCACTTTATTTTGTATTTTCAAAATTATTCTTTACTCCTACTTAATATTTTACAATCATATATCATTTGTTTCAAAAAGGATTGAGAGAAATATTAGTGTAAAAATCAGGGGGAGGGTATAGCTCAGTGATAGAGTGTGTGCTTAGCATGCACAAGGTCTTGGGTTAATTCCCAGTACCTCCGCTGAAAAAAATTTAAAATTAAAAAATCAGTTCGTATCACTGGAGGTATGGATCAACAGCAAGATCTACCGAAAGCACGGTGTTCTTTATTGTTGTATTTTCTCAAGTCTATGCCACCCACACAAAGCCACCAAGTGAATCATAGCTTTCAAAAAAACAAAAAAAGAAGAGAGACATCTAAAAAAATTTCCTTTGCCATAGAAGATAAAACATATTTCAGAAATGTTCATTTAAAAGCAATATTTGTCTTAAAATTAAGAAAATAAAATGCCACAGAAACCATCATATTCAAAATGATATTTAGTTGGTGTTAAATGATGAAGGAGCTTACCACTTTCAGATTTTTGCTTTTTTGCCTTCGCAAGGGCATCATAGTACCTGTCAGCACATTCAGGGATTATGTCATTTGGATTATCAACGGCAGGCTTCAAAACAGACAAAATATCACTTTGTTTTTCCTTCTCCAAAAACTGATTAACATCAACGACCAGTGTAACCCCTGGGTAATGAGAAAGAAATGTTTCTGTTAATGGTTATCTTGTGCTCACCCTAGAGGCATACAAAGATATAAGTCAACCTTTTAGGAACGCACTGGTATTAAACCTGTTGACCCTTTGAGAGTATGTACTACATATGCCCGAGACAGTCATCAAGTGTTCAGGTTGTGGGAAAAATGTATTTCCTCAGAAGTATAGTTTATCCAAAATCGCATTATTTCCTGGTGACTCTTGCGTGGTATCAAGGCAGTAGGACTTGCCTACTACAGTGATCTGTGAAATGGGGTGGACACACACTGACAACAGATATGCAGCCCTTATGCAAGTCACTAATCAGTACTGGAAAACCAGCTTTACAAAGACATGTATTTATTTTAGAACAAGTGCAATGCTATCTAAGCCATGGAAATGCTGGCATTCTCGTGTATAGTGCTAGTATACTTTGCAAGATTGTTGTTAGCAACCCAAACGAATGTTCTAGAAAGACAAGAGGCACAGCTGGTGGAAATGTGCAGTGGAGTCCAGAAACTTCATTCTGGAGCCAATTTAGACACAGAAAGCATGTTATCCTATTTCAGATCTCTGCGTCTCCTCATAAATAAAACCGCATTGGACTCTTGGTTGCCTGTGGTCAATTCTTTATTATCTACTTTTCCAGGTAAGAATATTCTGGCCCAACCAATGGAACCTACTGTCTTCACAACCTGTAAATGTACTGAGTTCAAAAGGTAGAACAAAAAAATGGAAGAAACCAGGTTAAAGTACTTTTGAGATGAAAAAAAATCTCGATGAAGAGAGATGGGTATTTTTCTTTCTTTTTTTTTTTTGAACAGACACATCATACTCTACCATACAAATGCTAAATAGTATATTATTATCATCCAATTATGTTCACACGTGCATAGAACTGTGAAGGCTGACGTGTTAAGTAAAAGAGAGTTTGACTTTCAACAGCCATGAGCCCAAGTCATGTAAATCTGGAGGATCACGTAAAGACTTTCCGTGGCCAACTCCAGGTGCTGCTGAACAAGTTACAGTGGTAAGTTCTTTCATTTATAGAAGTTACTAGGAATGAGTGAGCTGCCCCCCTTTTCCTCTTCTCAAGGACAGCTTTGCAGAGTGAGAAAAATGCAGTACTGACGTTTGAGAAGTCTGTGGTCTGAGAGAAGTGGAAGAACATGCAAACGACAAAGAATTCTCACATCAATTACCTCTGATAGCTTCATCTAACCCAGTGAAATGCTATTTTCCTTAAAACATGGGTATTATAAAAGCATGCGTTTCTTGCAAACGTATGTGTCAATGTGCAAGGAGTGGGTCCATGGGTTAATTTTCCAGATAGCTGAAGTTTACTCCTTTATGTACCAGCCTTCATCTTAATAGAATCACGTTCCAGGAAAATCTAAAGCCCTGGAAAGACCCCTAACAGAACAGTTTACATCCTACTCATTTTACCCACAGTCCCTGGTACGTAATAGGTACTTAATGTTTGCTGAGAGCTGCCAGAAGAGTCCTTCACGTCATGAAAATTATACTGTGCTCTAAGACAGTGAGTGATCATTTAAGGACTATGGAGGTGTTTGGGCTACTTGGCTCCTGCACTAAATGGCCTCAAATTCCTCTTTTTAGTTTTCCTCTAATGTTATTGTCAGCTACCAATTCTTGCTCCTGTTTGAGTGCCTGGATGGGGAAGCCCAAACATCTAACTTCTTGCTAAATCATAGATTCTGATGGACTCTGAGTTGGGAAGAGACACAACCAGCAGATTAGCCTTATGCCTAAAACAAGAATAAAGAGCCTCAAAGCATCTGTCCAAGAGGTCTCCAATGAGCTGAGAAAATCAGTTCCAGTGGACAGGCTTTGAGACATCTATTTTGATGGCTTTTCTGCTTAATCTGTGGGTTGTGATTAAGTTCCAGACAATTGAGGATGTCAGATAAATGATATCCAGAAAGTTTCTGCTAAGGAACAAATTAAGAAACCTACCCCAAATCTCCTAAGAGGCCCTGCAAAATGTATGCTTTACATCTTAATCCACATACCAGCAGGGTTTCTCTAAGGCACGCATTCTCTAAAGAGGTGACATAAGCCCCAGTAGGGCAAAACCTGGTTCTCAGGAGGAGAGAGTAAAAAAATCTTTCTGCGTATAAAAGCTCAGATCTACACATGGCACATAAACTGGTACACGATATATCTGTGGTATTAAGATTTCATGGTGAAGATCAATTAGGGGAAAAAACGAAAAGATTCCTCACGGTGCAATAGTGAAAAAAGGTTGAAATACATTGCTCTAAGGAGTCAACTGTGGAGACAAACCTACTTTAAGAAAGCAAGATGCTTCAGTGAAAATGGACATTGGGCCAAAATGAAGGAGTCTTGAGTTACTCTGCCCTTCTAAATCTTGCCTCTAGTAAAATATATGAGCCAACACATTTTCTTTTATCAACTTATCTGGGAGTGGGTTTGATACTTGCAACATGTGACCAGAATCTATTTTCAAGTCTTCATACAAAGGATGAAGAATGCTTTCAAAAGGAAGATTCAATTCCTTGTTGCAAAAACTGGAAGAGTCTCATCTCAGTTTAAGAATATAGGGTTTTACCTTTAGAGCATCTTTTTGTTGTTATATATCATAGAAGACAGTGTATCAACTCTTTCCAGGGAGAGGACAAAGGTAGAAGAAAGGATCTTTAATGTGCAAGTGTGGAGTACAAAATCACATATATTTGAAAAAAATCTCTTATATTCACAGTAAATAGAACCGTGAGTCTCAACACAATCAACTTAACATTCACAGGCCAAATATGAAAAGAACACAGAATAAAAGGAATAAAATAACATCTAAACTGGTTTGAGCTCTAAGAGAAAAAGTTGTAAACATTTTAGGCTATTCAAGTGTCTATATTACAATCTAATTTCTTAAAAGAGTTTCTTCAAACTATGGCTGTCTTCAGTTTTACATATAAATTTAAATCTCTTGTGCACACAGCTCAATTTTATTTTATTTTTTCTTAAGGATTAGAATGTTACAACAGAAAGACTTCAAAAATCCTAAGGGTATAAAAAATCAGGTTGGAGAAATACACATATTTTTCCAGGCTAAGGAAATCAAAACCAGATGTTCCTCACAGATGCCTGCAATGTTTAAAAGCACAACTTTGGAGCAAGACTAGGCATCTCAACAGCATTCTATGACCTGATACAACAGGATCGATTCTAATGACATCATGAATGGACAGGTTAATGAACTATGCTTTTAGGAATCTTGTTTTAATTTATGTAGGTTATTTCTACATGTAGGGTGTTAGCATATCAATCTTGAAGGTATTTTAGATTGCCCTGGGAAGTTTCTTATTATTCCTCTATGAAAACAGATGCTTAAAAAAAAAAAACAAAACAGAACTATTTCAGCCAACGTGGGGATTCTGCCAATTGCTGAGTGTGTCTATTCCATTTATGGGTTCTGGACCTGGGGAAATAATCTTAGGGTGAGTTTGAGGACCCACTAGACCTACGGTGGGATGGATCTGAGCAATACCTCATTGATTGCCTGATCTTCATAAGCCCCTACTCTGACTGGTGGACCACAGAGTTTTGGGTCTCCTGGAACTAGTGTCAGTTCAGAGCCAGTGCCCAGTAATCTCTGAAAAGTCAGATTATGTCCTTTCCCCCAAGCACAGTCACCAGAGCAAACAGTCACAGGTCTCTTTGGGGGAAGCCTGGGAGAAAGATGAAGAGTGTAAATGTCGGTCATGTAGCAGAGTCCTATCCCAGTGGGACTCAGCTCAGCGCCCTCTTCATTTAAGGGGTTCTGGGTCTGCAAACAGCTGAAGTCTGGGAATTGATGGAGGGGCCATAATTTTCTGTTCTTTATGATTCAAGATATACTTCTATTCACTTGACCTCAAACTCTTCTTCCGTGTGTATAAATCAAGTAACAATTTAGTAGACTATTTATTTCACTTCTAGGAAAATCAGGATCAATCAGCAAATTTCACAGGACTCTGTGAGTCAGATTATTCTGATAACTGCTTTGACTCTGCTGTCCATTACAGGAACCATACCCACTTGTCTTTGGTGATTAAGTGCTGCCACCTGCCCTCCACCAGCCTGCCCTACAGACTTTGGACTTGCTAGCCTCTCCACAATTGAATGAGTCAATTCCTTAAAATAAATCTTCACCTTTCTTTTTTCATATATATGTGTGTATAGATAGATACTACATATGGTCTATATTTTCCAGAGAAACAGAAAATACATACATACATACATATATATATATATATATATATATATACACACACACACATAAAGCTACATATGTAATTCCGGTTTTTTTTTTTAAGAGAAAAATATGTATGTAGTTCTTTTTCTCTGGAAAACTCTGACTATCATAATGGAAGGCATAGAGGAGAACACAGGCATTTATTAAGCAGAATAATCTAGTTTTCTAAGAATCAAGACAAAAAAACGATCAAATTATACATTAAGAGTTTGGAAATTATTTTTTGCTTTCTGGATTTTGTTCAGCAATCATCTTGATTTTGAGATCTCAGCAAAAATCTCAGATTTTTGAACTGCAAAAAGTAGTGAAACTAGTAAATCTAATTTTTGTATAAATATGCATTAAAAAACAAGGTCATAGCGTATAGCACAGGGAACAACATTCAATATCTTATGATAACATAAACTGAAAAATATGAAAAGGAATATATATATATATTCATGTGTGTGTGTGTGTATAAAACTGAATCACTATGCTTTACATCAGAAACTAACACAAGATTGTAAACTGAATATACTTCAATAAAATTAAATAAATAAATAAAAAGCAAAATGGAAAAAATATGCATTCAAGAAGTAAAGTTGGTAAGAGGGTCCCTATCTTTTCAGAAGTTGAAAACTGCATACTTTTCAAAGGTTATGAATTCAAATAAATATTCAGACATAACCAGACACAAGCAAGGCAAGTTGGAGCACAGCCAGCAAGGGGGGCAGGGGCTTACATTGTTTTGCTTTGTCCTTGTCCTTGTTGGCCTCATTGACCGCATGTTGTATCTCATCCAGCCAAAGAATTTTAGAAGCACTTTGAGGGTCCTGAGAATATTGTCATGAAATAAGAGAAAAAATAGTGAATGATGACAAAACAAAATTGATAACTGTTTTTCAGCAGCCATTTTACTATAATTTTCCCAAACTCTTATTAGCAACTACCAAGCACCGTCACATATAGAACAAGCTACTGATGAAACAGACTCCAAGTCAGACCACTTCTCCCTTCTCCAGCGCCACCCCATCAGTCCAGCCCACCAGTGTCTCTCACTAGACAGCTGCATCCAGCTCCTATTTCCTTTTGTTGCTTCCAAGTTTGCCTCCTACCATGGTGGTCCTCTAAGAGAACCAGGTGATCTCTTCAAGATGGACATCTCATCACATCACTCCTTGGCTTCAACTCCTTCAAAGGTTTTCCCCTAGAGTTGGAAGGAAACAACACTCCCTTCCCATGGACTGTGGGGATCCAATGATCTAGCCCTGTTGAGCCTTCTGCCTTTACCTCAGTCTTTTGCACTCCCTGTCCCAGACCTTCACACCAGCCTCCTTCAGATCAAAACATTCTACCTGAGCTGTGTGGCCGCTATTTTTTTTCTTTTGTCACCTCCTCCAAAAAAAGCCTTCCCTGCTACCCTGGTCAATCAAATACTCTCTCCCCCAACCACTCAGTAATTGTGGTTCCCAGGATGGCCCAGTGTTCCGCAGAATACTTTCAACCTGTGGGAAACAACGCTACTTGACATGGATTAGACACTGGGACGAAAATAAAAACAAAAACATCTGAACAGAAACATGGTGATTACCCTCAAGGAGCTAACATTTTATTAGAAGAGACAGATGCATTAAAACATAATTATTATACAATGTGATCAGAGCAATATTAGTTGTAGATACATGATAGAAATAGCCAAAAAGGGATTAATTTACAGTTAGGGGTATTGAGTTGCAGGGGAAGAAAAGACTAGTTAAGGATAGCTTCAGAGAGGAAGTGATAGCAGCAATTAAAAGGTATTGAATTATCTTTACTATTTTTGACTTTTGGGTTGATTCTGATAATCTTACTCCAAATGTGGTACTGGCATATACTGTAATTAAAAAGGACTTCCAGACAACCCCATTTCATATAAACTTGCCTCAGATTATAAGTAGAATTTTTAACAGTAGAAATTCAGTATTTTTAGAGAAGATGAAATAGTCCATTAAAAAAAGGAAACATTCACATATTTGTATGAATAAGTGTCATGTACTATAGCCCAAAGCAAGACTATGATGAACAGAAGGTAGGTTACTGGAGCCCTGGAGAATCAGCTCCATCATTTACGACTCAAGATGGATGGGGGGCAGGAAGGAGAAACAGCACTCCCCAGCTTCTCCGGCAGGCTTCAACCGTATTTCCCTCAGAGCCTATCAGGAGATGATATACAAAAAAGGCTCTGAAAATGAGATAAAATATCTGTTATTTCTTCCTGTAAACTCTGGGCTCACAGAGACCATTGGGGAAGGCTTGGCTCCTGCTTCCACAATCACCTCTAGCTAGATCTGCCACATGGGAACCACCAGCTGTTAGCACGATTCTCCATTTCTTGGGAGAACGAATACGGAAGGTTCAAAGAGGAAGCAAGATGGGAAACTGAAGACTAAAGGAGGAAAGAAGAGACAAGGGAGCAGGAAGTCTATTTCCTCTGTTCCTAAGCCAAAGAGAACCCAAATACTCCCCAAGGGACAGCCTAAAAACCACGCTCCACACAAGTTCATGTCTGTCTGTCTCAGTTTTTTTGAAGAGTATATACCAGATTCCTTCATAACTTATCACTGGAGAAGATGCACCCTAGAAACTTTCACCCAGATGAGAAGGAAGTTACAATCCCACCTCAAAGCAGAAAGTATCCGTTTAGTAAGCCAAACCCAAGAGAGGCTTTGCAAATCAAATGAATTTAAGTCAAGAGTTTAAATCATGACTCACTGAGCTGAAGGCTGCTAGAGGTATATGCCAAACCAAGGGTAAAAATCAAGTCCTACCAGTGTGTAAGGTCCCCCTTTCAACTGCTCTCTAAAAGCCTGGGAATAGTACATTTATGGGATGGCCACGGCTATACCGCCAACTAAACATGAATTACAAACAGGCCAAGGCAACGAACTAGGCCATCTGTAAATCAAGTAAAAAATTCCTGAATTTAGATGTTTCCTTGAAAATTTTAACTGAAATAAGTACACTCTCTTCAGTATTTTGTGTTTTTTTTGGTTACTATTTCTATAATGAAATAACATTCTATCTCAGTTTGTCCTACCATGTATTATTTGGCTGAAGTATTAGTGACTTTTGATTGTGAAACTCTTGGTGTGATGAAATTTAATCAAGATGTGAAAAGTTCACACATCAATTCCTTCCAGCCTTATTTCTTATTCTTAAATCTTATGAAATTTGCATTTTCTGATTCTTGCTGCATTTTATAGTCAACAGGCTATTGGGTGTTCTGGCTTAGTGTTTGTTTTGTTAATTATAGGAAAATTTGTTACAATGCAGTTTTTTAAACTACATTATTAAATTATATTCTCCAGAATATAACTACTTTTAAAAGCTTATATGCTACACGACAAAGTGAATGTGCTTACCATTACTGAGTTGTACACTTAATAATAGATAACATAGTAAATTTTATGTTATGTATATTTTGCTACAATTAAGAAAAAAAGCTTATGGTAAACCTGCTCACCAAAACCCATGGGATAAAGGGAATCACCTGCGTTTTAATGTTGTTTTATGATTTTAGTTTAATCAAATAGTATTTTTTTTGCAGGAGCCCTTTTTATCTGACTCTATAGGATTGTTGAATGGCTCAGAATATATTGAGCTGTGGCAAAACAAAACACTATGAAATCAAGTTTTGGTCAAGCACTGACGACAAATTTAGACCAATGTGACACTGATAGAGAATATTCAACGTAGTCAAGTGCTTAAAATAATTTTAACTTAAAAAAAAGTTTCCTTTCCATGATTCACTGAATCTACAATTATGTAATGAATTTAGGAATTAAGATTTGAAATAGCTGGGAGGATAAAGGGAAGGATAATTTCTGACAGCTCAGTTACTAAATAGAAATTATACTCTGGAACTTCATTTTTAAAATGGGTGAAAATGAGATACGGGACAGACTCAAATCAAACCGCCGCTCAGCGTCTGTTCCCAGCTTATTTCTGTAAAGGACTATTCCGGGCATTCATCCAACACACGTAAATACAGTGGGTGGGAATTACAGCGTCAACCCAGAATGGACTACGAGGGCTGGGTAAGAGTTAAGTGACTTTTTCCGGGGCTAATTTAACACGCTCAGAGGCTCAGCCTGAGTCATGCTCACTGAAACATGAGTGCTGTCACACCCTTTCCCTGCAGAGGACACAGGCAAGTTTCCTGTCTGCAGAGCACACAGGAGAACACACTTGTCCAGAGGGAACCAGGTTTCCATTTGGTGCCAACACATGAACTGAGGTGAAACCGTACTTCCTAATTTTATACATTTGAGAAACAGGACTCAGATCATCAAGATGAAAGCTGTCATCTTCGCAGCAGTTGGAACACTGCTCCTGTCGCGCGCTTCTTTTCAAAGCGGTAAGCTCTTGTCTCACGGGGAAGAATGGGGGTGCTGGTGTGTGTCACAGGAGTCACCTGAACATTTCACACAGACTGCACCCTAACAGGCAGAGCCTGATTCTAGTTATTAAAAGGTGGACTCCTGGAAGTGAACAGATATAGTTTGTCCATTCTGTTCAAATCTTGTCAGAGACGGAGTGTTCTCTGCTGGTATTTAAACATTTGTGGCAGAGTCAAGACTTCAGGGCTCTACAATTAGGCCACGAATCCATTTTCTTTATAAGGTTTTGATTTTCTGAAAATTTCCTCTGATTTGGCCAAGATAACATTTTTTCAAGAGATTAAAAAACAATCCTCTGTTTATACCTCCTGGTGAGGCACACATGGGGTAAACAAGAGTACTTCCCAAAAGACAGAGGAGTCTGCTTTCAATAGTAGTGATGCTAATGAATTAATAATTCCCCAAAGAACTATGTGTTTCCTGTCACTCAATAAAATGTTAGCCTGGGGGTAGGGGGGTGGTATAGCTCAAGTGGTAGAACACACGCCTAGCATGCACAAGGTCCTGGGTTCAATCCCCAGTACCTCCTCTTAAAAAAAAAAGTTAGCCTGTAACTTTGTGTTTGCTCCAAAATTAACCAATTTGGGACAGGGGTGTCCACAAACTGGGGTTCTGCTCCAGCCAACTTTGTTAGGAGCTGGAGAGAAGGGACGAGAGAACAATGGATAGGGTGAGGGGACCAAAATTAAACAAAAAACAACCTCTACACAGGAACGCTGTTTACACTGCTAGTTGGAATTGTGGAGGTGACACTACGAGTAGTGTAACTCATGTGGGATTTACCGGTAGTATAAAAGAGTGCTCTTTCTGGGAGTGGATGAACCAAAATGAAGCAGAAAAGCAAAAGAAAAGAGGGTTGCGGAGGCAGTTCCTTTAAGGCACTGGTGGGGTCTGGGGAAGTGAAAAAGGTGGGGACGGGTTTAAAGGCGACAAAGTGAAAGGCGGTGAATTTGCTCTCTTTGAGAGGGTTTGGGGAGAAATGTGAACAAGAACCCATTGTCTAGGGGCTGAAGGCTGCACCCTCTGGATTAGTCCCTCTCCAAGGCCTTTTCCCAGGCTGGAAAACATTTCAGAAACATCATGTAAAATGGAACTCTGTAAAAAAAATTCAAATAAGTAAGTTTTATATATGTACATAAAACTTAACAATGAGTACTATTAGAGGAAAACCAGCCTCTAAGGAATAAAAGAGTTATTCAAGCTGACTCACATCCAGAATTCTCATGAAAATGGAAGCAAGCCTTGTTCACAGTCACTATGTAGCATGTTTGGAGGCATGATGTCTTGCTCAACCACTTGGATTTTCGGAAAACTGACAAACATCTGGTTTCAACAGCTCTCTTATCAGATCTTGAAGGGAAATAGCATGTTCTTCAGTCGCTGTTTTCCAGCTT